TATGGTGGAATGGCCATTATGGCGGAAAGCTTGCTAACCCTGCGTGCAGAGGTTATTGCGAGCAGGAAAACCGTTTTGAGAGTGAGGAATTGTAAGGATACGGTCACCAGAGGCTCAAACGGTGGCCTCATCAGGGCGTCGAGTACCACGTCCAGGCTCCACAGAGGAGGGACTGGGTTGCGTGGTGGGTCCATATTGATAAGGCCCTTGAGAAATTGTTTAGTCGTAGGATGGGCAAAGATAGAAACGCCATCTATAGGTGGTGTAAATGTTGATATTGCTGCGAGGTGCACCCTGATGGAGGCTAACGCAAGACCTTTGTTTTTTAGGTGCAGTGCATAGTCCAGTATGGAGGAAATGGACGGACGTGTCAGATCGTGGTGGTTCGAGGTACACCAGGAGGAGTATCTGTGCCACTTGTGAAGGTAAGTTTTCCTTGTGGTTTGTCGTCTACTTTGTACTAGGACGTGTTGGACTGCGGCAGAGCAGAGGGATTCACATGGGTTCAGCCAGCTAGGAACCATGCTGTTAGGTTCAGCATTTGTATCTGGGGATGTTTCAGGCGTCCTTGGGCTTGTGTGAGGAGGTCGTGGAGAGGCGGAAGGCGGATCGGTGTCCGCACAGAGAGGCGGTGCAGGAATGGAAACCAGTGCTGGCGAGGCCAATCTGGGGCTATGAGGATTAGCGTAGCCCTGTCCGCCTTCAGCTTCTGAAGGACCTTGGGAATGAGAGGAAATGCATAAAGGAGGGGTCCGCGCCAAGTCATGAGGAAGGCATCCCCTAGAGATGCGTGGCCCAGGCCCGCTCTGGTGCAGAACTTGCGGCATTTTGTGTTGGCAGGACTTGCGAAGAGGTCCACTCGGGGAGTCCCCCAACGTTGGAAGATGTCGTGTAATATGCCGTTGTGCATTTCCCATTCGGGGAGCCCAGCGTTGGGAGATCTCGTGTAACATGCCGTTGTGCATTTCCCATTCGTGTTTCACATGGAAATGTCTGCTCAGGAAATCTGCCATCACATTTGTGGTGCCAGGTAAGTAAGATGCCATAGGAGTTACCCCGTGGCGAATGCACCAGTTCCAAAAGCAGATGGCTTCCGTGCATAGCGAACGGGAGCGAGCGCTGCCCTGGCGATTTACGTAATACATGGCTGTGATGTTGTCTGTAAGTATCCTCACGTGGTGTTCCGAATGTAGATGAGGAAGGATTTGCATGCATTGAAAATGGCACGTAGCTCTAAGAGGTTTATGTGTAGCCTTGCTTCTTGTGGGGACCATTGGCCTTGGACTGAGAGGGAGCCCGTGGGCCCCCCAGCCTAGTAGGGAGGCATCTGTTGTGATTTGATGGAGTGGCTCCTGCGGATGGAATGGTACACCTGACAGTAGGTTTGTGTGACTGGTCCACCATAGGAGTGATTGGAGAACGCCAGGTGGCGGTGTTACCGGCCTGTGGAGATCGTATCTGGTGTGGTCGTATACGAGAGTCAGCAAGTACTGAAGGCCGCGCAGATGTAGTCTGGCATATTTCACCACGTATGTTGTGGCGACCATATGGCCCATCAGTCTGAGGCATGTGATGAGTGGAACAGTAGGACTGACTGTGATGGCGTGAATGAGGTCTTGGATAGCTTGAAACCTCTATAAGGGTAGGAACGCTCTGCCGGCAAGTGAGTCCAGACGGGCCCCAATGAACTCGACGGCCTGAGTGGGATGCAAGACGGACTTCTGCTCATTGAGTAGGAGTCCAAGCGATCGAAAGGCTTGCATCGTGAAGTGAACCATGTGGGAGACCTTGTGTGCCGAAGCGCCTTTGAGCAGTCAATCGTCCAGATAAGGGAAGATGAGCACCCCTTGGCGTCTGAGAAAGGCCATGACCACGGATAGGACCTTTGAGAACACCCTGGGGGCTGAGGATAGCCCGAAGGGGAGGACCTTGTATTGAAAATGGTCCTTCGCCACGACAAAGCACAAGAACCTTCTGTGAGCAGGGTGGATAGGGACATGGAAATAGGCGTCCTGGAGGTTGAGGGCGGCAAACCAGTCCTGTGGATTTAAAATAGGGATTATGGCAGCTAACGTTGTCATTTTGAATCGTTGTTTCCTGAGATATTTGTTCAGACGACGGAGGTCTAGGATAGGGCACCAGCCTCCGGACCTTTTCTGAGTGAGAAAAATAGTGAGAATAAGTCCTGAAGTCCTTCGGAACTGGCTCTATGGCACCCAGAGAGAGAAGGCGGTCGACCTCTAGTCTGAGGAGAGTTTCGTGAGAGGGGTCCCTGAAGAGGGACGGGGTGGGAGGGGTGGTTGGTGGGATGGCCATGAGAGGGATAGGATAGCTGAACTGAACAATCTCGAGGACCCATTTGTCCGTGGTGATTTTTGCCCATTGATGTAGAAAGGGTAGTGGAATAGCTGGCAGTGGACGGTAGTGGAATAGCTGGGTTGAACAATTCATGGTGCTGCCTGTGGCTGTCTGCTCGCCCTCGACCAACACATGAAATCTGTTGCTTGCTGTTGGAAGGCATGTTCATTCTGCAGTTCGGGTTTCGGCGTCGTTGAGGCCTCTAGTGAGAACGCTGGTTGTCAAAAGGCCCCTGTTGTTGGTGCTGCTGTTGCCACTGGTGTCTAATGTAGGGTAATCATATCTGCGCTGATATGGTGAGTACCGATGTCTCTTAAAGGGGGCGTATACATCCCCAGAGTTCGCAGGGTTGTCCGAGAGTCTTTAGAGGAGTGCAGGATTGCATCCGTGGTCTCTGCAAAGAGCTTGTCCTTGTCGAAGGGTAAGTCCTCGCCCTTCGTCTGTAGTTCCTTTGGAACTCCTGCCGCTTGAAGGAAAGACGCTCTACACATAACAATAGCCGTAGCGGCAGAGCGGGCAGCAGTATCAGCCACGTCCATGGCCATCTGGAGGGATGTTCTCGCTGATGTGTAGCCCTCTTGGATGACTGATCTCAGGATCGATCTTTTCGAATCGGGGAGATGATCCATGAGAGGAGTGAGGCGTGAAATTGTGTCGAAGGAATGATTGGAAAGATGCACCGAGTAATTGGCGATTCTGAGGAGTAAAGTCGCTGAGGTGTATACCTTTCTGCCCAGGATGTCAAGCCTCCTTGCATCTTTATCAGAGCCCTGGTGCTTGAGGTGAGGGGCTCTAGATGTCTGCTGAGCTGCGTCTAGAGTTAGGCTGTGGATGGGCGAAGAGGAATTCCATGCCCTTTGGTGGCACGAAATATTTCTTGTCGGCTCTTTTGTTGGTGGGAAGCATGCTACACTTCGTCAGCCAGTTCCAGGATGCCTTCGTCGAGAGGGATGGCAAGGCGTGAACTGTGTCGCGGTTGGAGATTCCTAAAAATCTTGTGTTGTTTATCTTTGAGCTCTTGTAGGGGAATCTCCTGTGTAATCGCTACCCGCTTAAATAATTCTTGGAATTGACGAAGGTCGTCTGGAGGAGAGCTGTCGTCGGGGTTCACTGCATCCTCCGGAGGAGATGAGACCGGAATGGAAGACCCCGAGGCATGGTGCACGAAGGGAGTATGTTCCGGCTCTGAAGTAAGGGGAGCCGGGGTTGGAGAGCGCCTGCGTGCAGCGTAGTCGGAGACGGATCATGGTCGGTAAGAATACCGGCTATGGGAATGTCGAGAGTCGCGGTCGTCGCGATGGTAGGCGCCATGATGCGGCGAACGGTCATCGTGGAAACAGTAGGTGGGTGTTAAGGCTGATAGCTGGCCACAGCCATTACAAGGCTATCTTTTGTTCTTATCTTAACAGTCTGTCTTTTTTTTTTTTTTTTTTTTTTTTTTTTTTAAAAGGTGAACAGAGCTTTATACGGAGGAGCTGACAGGAGAACAGCTGAGAGGAGGGAGGTAAGAGCGGTCTCTGCTTTCACTCCCAATAGTTCTTGTTTGTCCTTCCTCTCTTGAAAGAAATTTTTTTCTCTTTTTACTTTATGGGGAGAGAGGGGAGAGGGAGGAAAAGGAAATTTTATATATAGAAAGGGAGAACTAGAAGCAGTCTAGCTCTGTGGAGAGAGGAGAGCGGTTACAGGCGTCTGCAGCCTGAGGCGGTGAAGAGGAACTGGTGGAGGGGCCGGACCGCGCGACAGAAAGAGCGTGAAAGCCGCGAGCCTGCGGCACATGCGTGGTCCGGCCAGACACTGCTAATGACAAGTCTCCGTCTGCGGCGCCGGGGCAAGCCCAGCACCCATAGTGGAGCACCCGCGGGGACATCCCTGAAGAAGAACAAGCCATTAATGAATAGAGAATAGAATATTGGTGAATAGGAGAATACCAAATCAGCAAGAAAACAACTGTCCCACAAACTGAAGGACTGACAAATATAGGTAATTTATACAAACATCAGTTTAAAAGTCTTAGAGGGGTGTAGCCTGTAACTGAAAAAACTTAAAACAATGAATGGTCCTGAAACACCTTGGCGACTAATCAAAAATGTAAATAGTATCATGAGCTTTCGTGGGCACAACCCACTTCTTCAGATGAATGGAGTTTAAGGGGTCCAGAGTTGCAAATACATAGCAGAAAAAGGGGATGGGAAAGGAAAGAGAAGGGGAAAAAATTGTCAATTAGAGGGGATGCGGAGGGACAGGAACCATTTAAGTTTTTTGATGTTGATATAGACTGCAAGAAAATAATTTCAAACTTTAAACTTCAGAGTGGTGGTTCACATAAGATTGAGACAGACAGATGGTTCCTACATTACTTCAGCCAAAAGCCAAGTTCCTGGTTTGGTGAAGAATGCTATGGAGTAAGCCAAATCCAGTAAAATCAGACAAAATGTTGGCTCAGGTGGTTTAAAAAATGGCAAAATAGTAAAGAAATTTAAGAGACTGGTACATCTATCAAGTCATGATATTTACAACAGAGGAAGGAAGGCCTTAATGTTGACAAATATTCCAAATATGTGTTTAATAAACTTTATTTCATTTCAGGCATGTTAACAATATACAAAGTTTTTAAGGATGTTATAATATTCTAAGTCCCTTACCTTTTATATCTGCTTGAAACTGTCCTAGAGGATTCCTAAAAGAAATTGAAAAACAAAAAAAATATAATTTTATGTTTTTCATTACATACATTAATGCTTTTATGAACACTCACGATCTCATATACAAGCAATTTACAAATACAATAAGTGAACAACAGATTTGCAATTTCAGATCAAGATAATCATCAGGCTTTTACATTATTGCATCAATTACTATCTGCTACTTTTAGACTAAAAGGGAACTATGGGCTGGGTTGGAGAAAAGAAGGGAACCCACAGTAAAGGTAGAGCCAAAAACCTGTTGAGAAATTCAGATTCCTGCTTTACCCAGGTGCTGCAAAATCCAAACCCCTACACCAATCAACTGTTAAGAGGCAGGGTGCTACATTTGCGACCAAGATACTCTTTCTAGACCAAACTGGAAGTTTCATTTCAGCATTTGGTTAGTAGGCATTATAGCAATCTGAAGACCCTTTTGCCTTCCATTATGTTCTGGCTACCAAGTGTAGATGTGTCTCCATTATTCTACCCTTCTGAATCAAAACATCAATGTCTGTTTCTACTGCTGCTCATAAGTTTGTCAAAGGATAGCTGACTGAAATTGCTATGGTTCTTCAGGGCCTCTGCTCTCCATGGGATCCAATCAACAATAGTAAAGCTGTTCAGCGTTTTAATTTCATTTTGTAACTACTGAGAGGCAACAATGGAGCATTCTCTCCACAGATGCAGTAAGAGAGGACAGTTTTCATTTACATTCAGTTCATGTGTGTAAGATTATCTTCACATCGTAAGAGCTAGAAATAGTTCAAGTGTTGCAAAATGTATATTTGAGTTCTGTAGTTGCCAGTCAGTTTTGAGCACATCATGGGTTATAAAAAGTTCTACTTTTCTTAGTGTTAATTTATTAACTTTTTTTGACCACGGCTATGTCATGGATGCTGGTTTTCACAGATTAGTCTTCAATGTTGCTTGGGCCTGTTTTTCTTTAGTATAGTAGTTAAATTTCAAACTAGTCAACACCACAACTTTCTACTTCTCAACCAGACTCAGGGTTCAGTGTTTGTGCTCATTTATCTAATTTATCTAAGTTGCATTTTACTTTAACATTCATAGCATTCAGCTTAGCGCCTCTATATCTTTAAGACCCTGAAACTGTACCTTGGGCAAAAACATACTTCACACTGGATATTTTTAAGTGAGATTTTGGTACTTCAACCATAGCAAGGATATCTTCAGCACAGAGACTCATCCTCTTAGTGGTGAATAGCCAATTTGGGGGAACTCAAAACATTGCAATGATTATTACAGAATAAGGTGATGTGAACCAACCTCCTGCCTTTCCCAAAAAAGTTCAGGATATGATTAAAAGGCGTAGATGGTATTGCTATGGACTAACATCCAACAGAGTGTGACAGTAAAACTTCTAGCACAAAAGATTAAGATTAAGTTAAAGTGAAAGATAGGTGGGGCAACTGGAGCCAAATTTGATTCTGATACATAATAGGATAGCTCTGTGAAGAAGGAATACAAGGTGATGATTTCAGGGCATTTCAGGATATTAATTTGCAATAACAATGAAATCTCACTACAGACAAGATGGAAAATATTCAAGGAAGCAATACAAACAGCAGAGGAAGTTCCTTGGAATGTATAAGCAAACAAAAGCTATACAAACCAGGAAACAAGAACATTAAAGGAAAGTTGTAAACAAGTGAAGCCTGCTGGGAAAGTGGAAAAAGTAAAAGCAGGATGCAAAGTGCAGAAGTCATAAGCTGGACAAGCAAGAGTTGTAGAAAGACAATGCTAAAGAACGAAAGGAGGCATCATAAAAACAAGGCATAAACAAATGTGCAAAAGGGTGAGAGACTGTGTGAAAACCCAATCAGGCCAAAGATGCAAGTGGTGCAGAAATCTACCAGTGAATGGACAACAAATGCTAAAAAGTTGTGGAAACCTGGAAAGAACATTTTGACACTACTGAATCCTGCATTTCACCCAGAAGTAAGCATTCCAGTCATTCAAGATGACCAGAGTATCCTGGATGGTTATCAGCTCCAAACCAGTATTTGACAAAGAAGGAGCAGTTAAAACAATTAAATGGAGGGAACAGACAATGTAACAGCAGAGCTGCTAAAATCCAGTATAACAAGTATCCGAGCAAGAGAAGCTACTAGACAACAAGCCAACAGCAATAGCTGTACAAATCCTGAAGGAGAGTTTGCTAATCCAAATAGTTATAGTTACAAATTTACTGTAATGACAGTGGAAAAAAAAATCCATGACGAAAGTAACTCAGATTAATGGGTGTGAAAAATCCAACCAAACCTAAATCCCAGCCCCATGTAGACAGAATTAGATCAACAGGACATCTTTTGTTGATGTAACTACAGCCTCTAGGGCAGGGGTCTCCAAACTTTTCAGCCCGAGGGCCGCATTAACTATCAAACAGCAGTTCGGGGGCCGACTACACACTTGAGGTCCAAATAAAAAACAATCAAAACATGGATGTTGTTTTTAATTATTTATTTAATATTATTTTATTCAGTTATTATTTAATAACACATTGATACACTACACATGAACACCTGTATTAGTGTGAATGGTGAAATTGTTTCCTGGATGCCAAAATAGCAGACATTTCTGGCTTTAGAAATCACTGTTTGAAATTGGGGGTGGTGCTTGTCCTAGTCCTGCAGGAGGGGCTCCAGAACGGGGAAACTGCTGAGAACTCATTTCCACCTGCGCAATGTGATGAAAATTGTAAGCAACATAATCCTGGCAATATGTTCAGCCTAAGACACTCACACTTGAAGAGATGTGATCGCTCTCCTATCATGCAGGGAATGAGGTGACAATTTGTAACATAGCCCCATGGAACAAGGGGCATGCATTTTAATGGGAAAAGCTGGTTTGAAAGCAGACACGTTATCACTTGGTAAAGGAAGTTGGAAAGCAGTGCCCAACGCTCCCACAGACTGATACCCGGCAGGGCGGTGCTGCTCTGGGTTGTGGATGAGAGAGACCAGACGTGGAAGGGAGAGGGATGTTTCTTCAGGGGGGACGGTCTCCACGGGCCGGATGAGAGGGCCTCGCAGGCCGCATCCGGCCCGCGGGCCGTAGTTTGGAGACCCCTGCTCTAGGGTATATGGATTAATTACATCAATGGGAAAGCTTCTCCTGTTGATTAAGAATGTCCTCACTTAAATGCTGCAGCTGCACTGATGCACTGTTTTTAAGTGCAGACCTGCCTTCAGTGCATCACAACTAACTATAAGGTTGAACAGATAGTTTAGCATAAGCAGTTAGCACATACTCAAAGTGAACATTCAAGCTGACAGCCCGTTTAAAAAAAAAACTGGGATTAATAGTTTATTATAGAAATCTGACCTCCCTTCTTTGTCTGATGACTTCAGGAGTTTAAAGGCCATCATTTTTAGCATCTAGCAAAATTATAAATTTAAGTTCCCAGACACATCTTCTGAAAGTTTCTCATGAGGATGAGAACTGGTAAGTCAGACCGTGTTCTCTCACAGGTGATAGGGCAAGAATGGGAAGCCTTTTTTGGTTCAGCACCAATGACCCACTGAAAAGTCAGTCAGGGGCTGCACTAGGGATGTGAAGGACTAATCGACTATCCAATAAACCAATGCTTATCGGATAGTTGACAGAGGCAGCAAGGGTAGGGGGAAGCGACTAGTAAAGTAGCGTATCAGAAAGAGGTAGCAAGAGAAGAGGGTACTTCAAAGCGGCAGGTACACTTTGTAGATGTTGCTACACTTCAAAGGCGGAGGTGCCCTATCGACTAATTGAATAGTCGATGCACAGTGCATCAACTATTCCACTAGTCAATATTTAACATCCCTAGGCTGCACACAAGAGAGAAACTAGAAAAGAAAAAAACACCCCTCACCAGTGTGGGTTCCCTGGGGGGAGCCCTGATCTTCAAGGGCCGGATCCAGGCAAAGCTGAGAGGCTGTATCAGGCCCCCCCAGGCCTCAGGTTCCCCACCCCTGTACTAGGGTGTTCTGTCTTATTTTTCTGTGTGAGTTCATTTGAGAGAGTGATACTAATCTGGTTTCACCCACAATTTCCTGGTGCATTTGTCCAGAAATTCTTCAAGGTGGCCCTTGATGAAGTTGATATTTCAGGGAAGCATCTTAATATTAAAGGCTGGTCTCATGGTTTGGATAATATATGTCCAAACATATGTTGTTAAACAAACAGTTACAGGTGAAGATGAAATGGCTAACTTTGGTAATGTGTCTAGGATGGATGTAATGAAGATTGTCCATTGTCTTAGAACTATGAGTCCCAACATTACTTCAGGAAAGGCATGTCTCTACTATGAGGTAAAGTCAAATCTAATATGGTTGATTTCTTACCACCTGATTTTGTGAAGTCAAAGGTCTGTGTCCTCACTGTGGGGAAGAATTGAATACTGTTTAAAATAGCATGTCCCCATTAGGGAGCCTACCATCAACTCAGAGAATGATGCACTGTAGGCAGCTTTGCATTCTGGATTATGCTCATGGTCAGGGCTCGACAAATAATACAATCTACTCGCCCGGGGCTTGTCTGCACTACTCTATGAAGCTCTCGCATAGGAACTTTGATCCTTCTCACAAGGTTTTTGGGGAGGCCAGCCTTATTCTGTCTTCCATGGTAGGACACCTTCCCATGCCAATTCACAAGTGAGTGGTCTGGCCTCATTGAGCCACAAAGCAGTGCAGCAGACGACCTAGGTTTCTGGCCCCATTCAGTCAGCACCCGCTCTCAATCACTTTGTGAGATTTGGAGAAAACTGATATCTCACATTGCAATCTGCATGAAGGAGGAGGTGCACCACAACACTCACCCACGGCGAATAGATTGTAACCCGGAAGAGCCAGGTTTGGGCAATCTGCGCATGCACAGAATGATCTGCACACGTGCAGATCGCCGGACAGTGCGGCTGGCGAGTGGGGCTCGCCACGGTTCGGCGAGCCCTGCTCATGGTACCTGCTGCAACCAAAACTGGTGGCGGTTATGGGCTCAT